GACCCTTTCGACTGATTATTTAACCACGCCCAAGGTCTCATACATTAATTTACTTTAATCTTGCCTAAAATAATTCAACATGAGGGTAAACTGGTAGAGATCCTAATGAGTAATAAAATCAAATCGGGTATACGCGCACCCCACGTTTGGTATTGGTGGCGCACAAAAATATAGCTAATAAAAAGAAGAAGAAAAAAAGGTATCATAGATTAATTTACTCTAATCCTGCCTAAAAGAATTTCAAGTGCCGCGGCCATTGAGGATTCTGTCTTGTTTATATTTAAATTCTACATCGTATTGTATACTTACCAGTACGCAGAATGTTTGAAAGGGGGTTCTGATTTGTGAGATCAAAAGCCAACATATATTGTACGAAGTACAATCAACATGCAAAGCAGGCTAATGCTACGGGGGTCTGGGGCATGCCCCCAGATAATTTGTACAAATAGGTGCTATAAGATTAAATTTGGAAACAACTTTGCATGAAACATAGCTTAAACAATTGCATAGTCATCCACATGAAATCCACAAACGTCCAAAACGTTAATACCATAAGTAGCTTCGCTATAACTATATAAGCGTATTTTTTTATATCACCAAAATAAGGAGTCCAACCGAACCCCCCCCCCCTTAATTCTGCCTTAAATGTTCAGGTTAAATTCAAAGCGTTTGAGTAATCAATACAAAAATAACTCGAATAGTGTAACTAAAGCTGACGATTTCTAACGAACAGCCAACCAGCTTATTTTATCTCAGTGGTCTGTGCAGTATCCTATACTTCAAAATTAATCATTCGAAGAAACTCCTGTACTATTAGGTTTTCATTCTGGTGGGAAAATGAACATTTTAATGTTAAAAATATATATTATGTGTTGATCCATAGTATTATCAATCTGATGATGGTTAATGTAACGAGGCGTAGAATTTTTTTATGCCAAGATTTTTATCTGTAATGATAGAATCATATTCAACTGATTCAGTAGTTTTTTTCTTTTTAGTTTATCGTGAAAAGTTTTGTCTGGAATTATACGTTTGCCTTCGAAAGAAAAAATAATAAAAGAAAAACTTAAACAATTTGTTATGAAGAAATACGCCTCCCAGTGGCACAGCGGCATGTCTGCGGATTTACAACGCTAGAAACCGGGTTTCGATACCCGTGGTGGGCAGAGCACAGATAGCCCATTGTGTAGATTTGTGCTTAACTTCAAACAAGAAATACTTATTTTTAAATAGACATTAGATAAATATTTTAATCCAAATATGCAAAGAGCTCTAAATTTCAAAGAAAGCATGGTGTCAACTAGAAAATAGGCTTATCAATATGAAAATACATTGCATAATTGATATCTAACTTATAACGTCATTCAAATTTTTGCATGTTTTAACATTTAATACCTCAGTTCTTTTTCGGAAGTATTACGTCAATATGAGTATAGGAAGGCGCAGTTTGTTTATTTTTTATAGTTTCAGTTTTTTAATCACTACAGACACTAAAAAACTGTTCTTTTATAGGTAGCTCTTTCATTGAGATGCATTTTAATTAGTTACTATATATAACACTAGCCTAATATATGTTTCGTAAGGTATACTGTTATTTCTCGTATGTTACTTTCATCAAGCGCAGTGATTCTCAAACTTTTCAGGCTCGTGTACCACTCTTTATTTAAACTTTTTTGCGTAAGTACAAAGCCAGGCCTAGTTAAGATAAAAAAAAAGAAAAACCTGATAGCAAAAATAAATATTTAACGCTGTCCTATTAGTGGGAGGGTCGTGATTATTTTTTCTAGCACAACTGAAAAATATGTGCTGTGTGATTTTTGTCAATTTGGAGTGACGAAAACACTGGCAAGTCTAGAAATGAGGAGAGTAGTGTTATGTGTATTGGGGGGGGGGGCTAAAATTTATAATTTATAATTTTTACTTAATTTTTTTCGAGTACCACCGACATCATCTCTACGTTCTAGTGGTACGAGTACCACTGTTTAAGAAATCCCGATGAAGAGTATTAGTTAGAATGTTTAATATATGTATATTATTATTATGTTTATTTTTTCTTTATTATACGTATTATTTTTTATTGTTAGCTTAATACATGGACTTAGTACTAATCTAAATCTCATAATCTAGCCGAACCTCTTAGGTTATTATTAAGATTCTGGTTTAAAATATTGCTAACAGCGACAGTACACAATTGATGAAACAACACATTCAAATATTTATAAGTAAGAACCTTATATTTCATTAGCTATACTTATTACTATGTTGGTTTTTAGTTATGATCTATGTAGGTAGCTTTCATCAGAAATTAGAATTTAATCATTTTCTGACTCACATATAAACTTTAAATTCGGTATATTACACTAAATTTTATACGCGATTATAAAATTAAATATAATTTATCACGTAAATATGTTTAGTTATTTTAATAAAGTGACCGTTTGAGGGTGCTTCTGACTAGCCGCTTTCCTGTTGTGTGTCAATTCAAAATTAGGGACAGCCATCGCAGATAACCTTCGTGAAGCTTTGCGTGACCAAGCAAACTAAATCAACTCGTCGTCTGCACGCAATCCCGTCACACATAAAGAGATGGAAAAATATTTCTGAAGAGCGCAATCTATACACATATACGATTACATAGCTTTAGTGCTGTTGTCAAATGTTATTACGTTAAAAATACGAAACATACTTTCACTTGTATACTGCTTTATTCAGTTGCTATTGTGTACTGCTAAAAATGAATTTTGTTACGAAACTGAATAAGAAAATTGTTTATGACTTTCTAATACGAAGACCTCC